AAAACCCCAAATTTAAAATCTCAGAAAATTTGAATATTACTTGAAATTAATACAAAAAAAAAAAGGATTTTAAATACAGAAATGTCGGCCCTCTGAAAAGTATAATCATGCTAATGTATATAGTTATACTAAATATATTAGTTTCACCTTTTAATTTTGATTACTGAAATACATGAACTTTTGCACTATATTCTAATTTTTCGAGTTTCACTTGTTAAACACACATCTTTAATGAAATCGTTTAAAAAAAATGTGTTGTTTTAAACTTTGAAACGTTCTAAAACACAAAAGTAGTGCAAAATGCTGGAAACATCAATCAGCTCAAATTGAAGATTTGAAAGCGTTTGAAAGCAGCTGTCTATCAGTGGATCCGTCAGTGGATATGGGATTTTTTTTAGGGGGGTACTTTCCATAAGATCATCTCCCCATGCAAATCATGCTAGCTATTAGGCTAACTGAAATAAAACCATGCCAATATCTAGGTATGGTGAAGGGTATGTGATGATGTGGGGCTATTTTAATTCCAAAGGCCAGGGGAACTTTATCAGGATGCATTAGTATCCTGAATGAAACACCTGGCCTTTAAAAACAAAAATCTGCCTGCCTCTAAGGGAATTCAACACAGGGGTGTCTTGACTATATTTTAAGGAAGAACATTTATTTATTTACAATACATTATTCATTCACAAAGAAAATTGGTCTCCTGAAAGGTTGTTTGTCTATTTTTTTAAATTAAGGCATTAAGATCAATTTACAGTAGATGATTTTTTTTATTCCTCTTTTTAATCAACTTTAGCATGGGTGTGTTCACTTATGTTAAGCACTGCATGATATCTGTGGACAGACAAAACTAAAGTTTTGTCAGTTTTGGCTAACTGGCCAAATTTGGTCTGAAACACAAGTTACTGGATATAAATTACTCGTTTGTAAAAGTAGTATCATTAGGAGTATACATATTTCAATCAATTAAACTCAGTGTGGGTGGATTTTAATTTATATACAATTTATGTACATTTTTTTTACATAAATTATGTAAAATCATTATGCGACCATAGTAATCTGGCTTGATAAACAATGATGCTGTCATAGATGTGCGTGCTGTATATAATGGCTCAATAATGGTAGGGATTTGTCTCGCGCAGAGGTCCAGAGAGGAGCGGCAGCATCCGATGGACTGGATCCACTATCAGAATTCCTTCTATGTGTTCTGGCTACTGGAACAACTTGCACAGAACACTAATTGTAATGTAAATCAGGACCTTGTGATCGACCTGGAAACTAAAACGTTCACTCTGGCAGATGAGTTTCCCCTGTTCTCTCTGTATATGTGGCGGATCTGTGGCCTCTTCAGGATGGGACACCAGTGAGCCAACATGGGCTGCTCATTCCAAATCTTTGTTCCTTTGTAAGATATGAACTGTCTTGTCTTAAAACAATATGGATGAACTGTTTATTAATACATAATAAAAGTTTTGTTGTGCTTTTTGGAAGTCTTGTGTTGATAATTGCTTGATGATAGATTATGTGCAGTAGAAAAGTGGCCCTCAAATAGTGGAGTTTGACACCTGATCTATAACGTGACAAAAAAGTATTACATGATTTTTCAATGACAAGGAACAAGGGAAAAACAAGGGCTGTACACACTCACCTAAAGGATTATTAACCCTCAGGTGCTCTTCGGTCATTTCTGACCGAAAAAATTTATGTTTTGAAATGTTAAAAATCACAGCTTCATCGGAATGTTACGAAACTTGGTGACTTTTATTCCATTGGGTATGTGAACACACAAAAAAATTGAGGTCATGATCCGAGCATGCTAAGTGGTCGTAAAAAAAATAGTCACACTTGTGCTCTTCGGTCAAAAATGACCGACCATAGGAAATGAATGGGAAATTGACAAAAACACAAAAACTTTGAGAATTTTTGTGTGTACAATCTACAAATCGGCCACGATGCAGAAAAAAAGTGCTCAGCATTGAAGGGGTGACACTCTAAAATATCAAGAGTGCAAAACAGACATACCCACCCCTACACACACACACACACACACACACACACTTTTATACACAAAAACACCAATAAATTGTGATTAAAGAAATCTGTTTTGAATATTTAAAAATCACAGCTTCTTCAGAAAATTACGAAACTTGGTGACTTTTATGGCATTGGGTATGTGAACACACAAGGTCATGAGGTCATGATTCGAGCAATTTAAGTGGTCGTAAAAAAATGAGTCACACTTTTGGTCTTCTGTCAAAAATGACGACCCATAAGGAAATGAATGGGAAATTGACAAAAAAAAAAAAATTTCTCTGAATTTGTGTATGTACAATCTACATATCGGCCACAATTCTAAAAAAAAAAAAAGTACACCGCAAGAAAGGGGTGACACTCTACAACATCTAGAGTGCAAAACAGACACACCCCCACACACACACACACATACAAACACACTTTTATACACATACACACCAATAAATTTTGATTACAAAAAGTATGTTTTGAATTTTTAAAAATCACAGCTTCATCGCGATGTTACGAAACTTGGTGACCTTTGTGGCATTATGTATGTGAACACATAAAAAAATTGAGGTCATGATCTGAGCATGCTAAGTGGTCTTAAAAAAAAAAATAGTCACACTTGTGGTCTTTGGTCAAAAATGACCCCATAGGAAATGAATGGGAAATTGTAAAAAAAAAAAGAAAAAAAAATTGTGAATATTTGGTTTTTGTAATTTTTTTATAAGAAATAGTTTTTGAGATTGTTTCAACTATATATACAAATCCACAAATCCCCCAAAAAAATGTGTTCATAAACAGCTGGGGAATTCACATGCTTCTCCATAGAGAGCTGTACATGTCATCTAGTGGTTACACCATGATTTTACGCTTTTTCTCTATACTGTAACCAGATGGTGCTAATTTTCTTCAAAAAATATTTTTTTTCTGAAGGCCTAGACTCTATATTAAACTAAAATACTGCATTAATATTTTTTTGAAAAAAATAATATATATATAGAAAAATATATATATTTTTCCATGGCAAAAATAAACCATAAATATTGCATAAATAATAAATTCAATTAAATTGTCTCAAAATACTCAATTAAAAAGAATAAATATTATAGAACAAAAATAAATTGCTTTGGTTTTACTGGGATGGAGAAAGTTTCATTTTTAGCTGTCCGGTCACTTTTGACCGGGAAGATAACAAGTGTGACTCCGAAACGAAGAGCACCTGAGGGTTAAAGTGACAGTATCCCTAATAATAAAAATGCAGCCGCTTGTTCTTAAAGGGATAGTTGACCCCAAAATAAAAAAAATCTGTCATCATTTATTCACTGTAATGTTGTTCCAAACCTGTATTAATTTATTTCTTGTGCTGAACAAAAAAGAAGATATTTTGAAGAATGCAATGCTCAAAATTGCTTAAATCCCCTTTCTTTCCCATTCTGACATACAGTTTGGAGTTCAGGAGATTGTCTTGACCTTGCCTGGATGCCAGCCCGAACTCCGCCCACAACATTTTTTGGTCGGGAACTTCTGGTCTCGATCCATAGAGAGCCTAAGTCCCGCCCCTCCGCTTCCGGCTCATTGGACCTTATTTCGGAAAAAATATGTGTGGTAGTCAATGGCGAGAGACAACTTATCTTTTTATTCCGTCTGAACTGTGCCCTCAATTACACATATTAGTAGGGTAGGAAGGGGGGGTTCACCTGCACCCGAAAGATATATTTTTTTAACCTAGTTTTTTGTAATCCTTAAGGTGTCTAGAAAAGGAATTTTGATGTTCCCCGCGCAAATTTTTGTCCCATATGTGATTTTTTGTATCATCTTTTGTGTCCGTGCTTGATTTTTGGCTGCGGAAAATGAAAACTTTAAACCTACATAGAATCTGAACAATACATCCTACAGACACAATCTACCCCATTTTCTCTTCGTCTTTGCATGAGGAATTGATAGATATGAGGATTGTCTTGATTAGTTAGCGCTTTTCATAGTAGGTTGCGTCAACAGCAGAGGAGAAAGTCCGCGAAATTTTATTACTGTTATTGTGTCATGAAATGTAATTGTAAGAGTTTTTAAGTCGAGAATATAGTTGTTTAAAGTTCAAATCTGTGGTTTATTTATAAAGATTGCGCCTTTTTAAAACATTGTTCTGACGTTTTCGGAGTTGTCAGAACCAGGGATCAGCAGCACATCTAGCCCGCCTGGAACAGCCTTAACTCGGCTAGTCATTCTGACGTTTGCCGCGGATAAATGCTATGCTACTATGTAAGCTAACTAAAAAACAATAAGAACGAGAAATGTTTAAATTTACAATCTACAGCTTTGGTTATATATAAAACATATAAGTTAAAATACATTAATGACTCCTTATAACGTTCGTCTCTTATAATAAACTGATTTTCTCTAATTTGTAACCAGGCACTAAGCGTTTACCCATAAAACTAGCTTTGAACCAATCGGATCGCTTGGGTCTTAAGGTGGGACTCATCTTTTCAGGGGGACTCTTTTTTTATTTTATTTTTTTTATTTCCAAAATTATATATTAATACATTAGAAACAACAATTCACATATATTTTCCAAATTATTCCTACGCATCATGCAATATGAAACATTGAAGTTAACATTCTTATCAATGAAATTAAAGAACATTAGGATTACATATAAAAAATAAAAATAAAAAAAGAAACATAACATAACATAAAGGAGGTATACTATACATATATAGTTACATTAAATAAGAGGAGTTCAATTCTTTGAAGATGTCCATCGTTCTGGTTGCTTTGCGATTTGAGAGACCTTTCAGTGTTTCAAAGTAAATTTTCAAGTCAGCTTTAAAGTGGTAAATGTTAGGTATCCTTCCAGACCATTTATGTATGTAAAATTTACCAAGAAATAAGATCAAATTTAACATAAAAATGAGACTCTTGTTTATATCTTTTTTACCATAATAAAAAAAAAAATCTCTTTCTTCAGGGGGACTCATCTCTTCACCACACCGGAAGTGTCCGACCGCACACTCACGGACACGGATAAGAAATCCAAAATGGCGGCCACGTGCAACTAGCATAGAGGCAACTAGGAGATGCTCCACTGATGATTGACTGTGTTGCTACTGTTATATCTTTTTTGCAGGTAAGATTACTTGTGTCTATTATAAGTCAAAGGGGTCCACCAACAGTTATGTTCAGTATTTGAGTATTTAGGATTTATGTTAAGTAACGTAAGTTTTGCACGAAATTGTTATCACCCGTGGATAGAGCGTGATCAGAAACAACGCGGCAATGAAACTTCGTATGTGAAACGATAATTGGTATTATGCAATGGAGATGGAAAGACAGTATGCACAGTACTGTTATTTAGAGGTTGTGTGATATTGATGGGTAAAATAATAGTTTAAGTGACGCGAGTTCAGTAACACACGTGGAGTTCGCGGGTGTCCGCCATTTTGCGCAAGTTGCATGCAGCGGGGACATTAGAGTTAAAGGGCAACTCCTAGGGCTGTAACGATACACCAAACCCACGATTCGGTTCGTATCACGATTTTTGACCCACGATTCGATTCGTATCGCGATTCTGTCACGGGGGCGGGTTGGGGTGAAAAATAGATTTCGAGAGGAAAAAATATACAGGTATTTTTATTAAATAACATTTGGAAAAACGTATAGAATCTGAACACCAAAAAACAATAATAACTATGCAAATTATTAAACTAAACTAGGCAGTGTATGCTGCTTTTGGGTTGTTTTCTGTGCTCTAACTATATATGTTTTATAAGGCTATACCCTTCTTGTTTTGAACTTCATGCATGTGTATTGCATGTTAAACAAGTACATAATGTAATGATAACAAGACTGTTTTATTTTGGTGATGATGTGTAGCCAGTAGGGGTTTCATCAACTAGTCGACTAGTCGACTGTCACAACCACTAGTTGGCGCTGTTGGCCTTAGTCGACTAGTCGGAAACAAAATGATGACATATAGATATATTTTTTTTGTGAACTATCCCTTTAAGTACAAGCGGCAGTACTATATACTATAAGCACTATAAGGCGCACCTTCAATGACCTATTTTAGAACATTTTTCAAACGTTTGACTGGGTTTGCGTTATGCATCCACTAGATGTGCTAAAGGGAATGCAGCGAGTGCGCGGCGTCAGAGATGAGGCGCGTGAGCGCGCTGGGGCGGGCACGTAACTTACATTCGCAACCTGACTCGCAGACAGCAACAGCTGGCTGAATGAGACGACCCGGTTACTGTGAACGGGGAGCGCTTTATGCACATTCTGTGACGCCGGGGACAGTGTGTCTGTTCGTGTGTGTAAGAGTAAGCGCTCGTGAGCGGGAGACACACAACCTACCTGATTTACACGAGGTTGAACTGGCCATATGACAAAGCGGGCATAAGATGGACATGAGCGCGAGCAATTGATCCATATATAATGCGCTCGGATTATAAGGCTTGAGAAAAGGCCGGATTGAGAAAATTAAAGGCTTTTAATTGCGCCTTATTGTGCAGAAAATACGAGTATTACTACTTTCGCTTTTAGACCATGCGACGTGTTTAATAGCCTATATATTACACCAGATTTTCTCTCAAATGTTTGCTTTCACTTTAGACATAGCCATTTCTGTTTATGTAAATATTGTGTGTATTTAACAGTATTGGCATAATAAGACTCGAAAGATAACTTAGTCCAGTATTCAGGCGCTGTTTGACAGGCGCCTGTGAGCGTCGGGGGTATGCCGCGCGCTCAGGAAAGCGCACGTTAGAACAGCGCATGAATTAATGTTTAACCGGCAAGACTTATGCAAATAATGAACTTTTGTGAATTGCAGTGTACCATACCTATTCCTTAACGTGTGATGTGTAGGCTACGTCGCGTTTTACAGTTGAGACAGAGGCGCCAGAATGCAAACACGATACTACAATATTTCTTCAAAAGCAGATCGTGGAGATATTTACTATTCGTGATATCGCACACCCATAGAATAAACCATTTAACGACTAGTCGACTAGTTGTCGACTGTTATGCAAAACTAGTCGACTAGCAAAAATCAGTAGTTGTGAAACCCCTAGTAGCCAGATCGCATGCGATTACCTGCGTCTGTCTTTGAAGTCGTGAAAAGGTTCCCAGATAGCACAAGGCTGTTTGATGTCCTATTTACATCTGGAAGACGTATTTTAAAGAGTGTTTGCTCATCTGCAAGACGTCTATAGGACGTTTCCTGCAGATGTCAAATAGACGTTTAGAAGATGTCTCTAAGATGTAATGATTTAGAATGCACGTTAAACTGACATCTTCTAAACGTCTATTTAACATCTGACAGGAAACGTCCTATAGACGTCTTGCAGATGAGCAAACACTCTTTAAAATACGTCTTCCAGATGTAAATAGGACATCAGATACCCTTGTGCTATCTGGGTTGCCGTGTACCATAATTTTAACGTTCACATCACAGGTACTATTTCCCATAAATGCTGCTCAGCTGAGCCTTGAAAAGTGGAACTCAAAGTTAAAAATAATTAACACCTTCATTACATCTCTTTTAATGAATCAGCTTTTTTGAACGTGTTCGTTGAATGAACGGTTTAATGAATCGCTCAAACTCCGTTGTCATAACAATGTGCGCGCTAAGTGAAAGCCTTTCAATGCGCATAGACGCTGTTTAGTTTCGGTTACAGTGGTTACTGAAAATGTCCTCGTTTTTGTCCACATCGTAAACATATTTATATAGCAACAGATACATATAAATTAAATAAATAAATGGCGCTAATAGGGCATATCGCGCTATTGAGCCACTCAACATTACCGCAAGGGAAATTCCATAACCGCGACAGCCTTCGCAGAAGTGAACGCGCCAAGAGAAATGTACTTTTCATACGGATTACATAAGCAGAGAGCAGTCTTTTTTCTTTCGTTTTGAATTGTTCTTTTTAAAAGAAGACATTTCAATATATATTTATTTCTCAGGTCTATAAGCTTATAGGGTTAAGATTCATGAGACGAGCTCCAAATACAGGCGCCGGCACCTCAATGTCGTGATCATCTGTAGGCTAGCTATATTATCTTCTTATTTATTAAATCCAGGCAATTGGTTGATGAAACATTTATTAAAATTGAGATACAATTAATAAAAAAAACGAAATTCAATTTAAAGTAAGTCTTTGTGCTTTCTATTTGAATTCTCTGAAAGTTTAAGTGCCGCTTCCAGAGAACTGTCACGACATTGTTTTTTTTTCCTCGAACACGAAAAATAAAACAAAATAAATATTTTTATGTTCTGGGGAGAGCTAACCCTTCATCCGGTGGGCAGCCTAGTATTTCTTTTGGTTTGTACAGTGTAATTTACAGAATTATAAAAAATATAGGCTATATTTTTGCTACCTAAATATTAAAGATGTTTTGTGTCGCGTCCCTGTATGCGTGTGTATTTCCTTCATGTTAAATATAAAATGCAAGTGTAGACTTATATTTTTCTAATGTGTGGACGTACTGGATTTTATTAAGGGAGTAGGCTATGGATATAAACAGAAGTGTCAATATATTGGTATTAAATGCATTTTCTGAGAATGTATTATTTTGATGGATTTAAGTTTTGGCTAATTTAACCTCAACTAGGTCTACATATTTTATAATGTTAACTTCAAATAATATAAATAGTAATTTAAAGATAGCATTGGATCTGGACGGGAAAGATAACTGGGAGGTGGAAGGGGTGTGTCGCGATTCTGCCTTCTCACATCGCGATACAGTATCGTGGACCTGAGTATCGCGATTTCGATTTTATATCGTATATCGTTACAGCCCTAGCAACTCCACCCATTTGCATTAATCTTTCCATTGTTAGAAACCCAGTTATACTATTGAATGGTCGTGCAACACTTTCTCATTTTCCCCTGAGACGAGAGAAATCTGCTATTGATCTTTTTCACTTCCTCCTACAAAGACGCAAAATTCGTCATTTTATGTCATAGTAGGAGGAAGTATAAGAGAGGGGGATTTCTGGAAAAACTACAAGCACAAGATCTCACCCTTTCAAACCCACCCATAGGGGGTTGGACCTAATGTGCTAACAGACCTATCACAGATCAGTGCCAGTGCGTCTGATTTCACAGCAGAAATGTTTTGAAAATATGGACGAAGGTACTGAATACGCAGACGGATGCATTATGTAGGATTGGCATTACACATCTTTTTTGGAAGCTAAGCTAGCAGGCTGTTGTCCTGTGGAGAAAGCTGAGTTATAGCTTTAGGTGTTACCTGATGTCCGGGATTCAGCTTTTGCTTTCTGCAGTTACAGCTTTGTGTTTAACAGACAAAGGGAAATGTATAGGTTCAAATTAAGTTTAACAAGGGTTATTTGTTATTTTTGATATGGAGCGAGATATACTGTATGTTCACATGTTTGATTTGTAAGCTGCTCTCTGGATAGTAATGAATAATAATGAAACTGCATTAGGGGTGGAACGGTACAGAAGTCACGCTTGGGTTCATACCTCGGTTCAGACATTCAGACGCTTCGGTACGATTTCGGTACAATGGAGTGAAAAGCAAAACAAAAATGCAGAAGGCATTTTTATTAAAGGGTTAGTTCACCCAAAAATGAAAATTAAGTCATTAATTACTCACCCCCATGCTGTACCAACCCCGTAAGACCTTCGTTCGTCTTCGGAACACAAATGAAGATATTTTTGATTAAATTTGAGAGCTGTATAACTACCACATTGGCTCCTAAGGGACTGCCTCTTGACGGCCCAAAAAGTCAATGAAGAAAATGTTTAAATATCCCAAGTGACTACCGTGGCTCAACTATATGTTTATCAAGCGACGCGAATACTTTTTGTGCGAAAAAACAAACAAAAATAACGAGTTTATTCAACTATTTCTTTTCTTCCTTGTAGGCCAGAACGAGACTTCCTTATAGATTTCCACGACGCATGCGCGAGATTTGCGATCTGAAGTAGTGAAGCTGGTGTGAGCAGATCGCAATTCTCGCGCATGCGTCGTGGAAATCTATAAGGAAGTCTCGTTCTGGCCTACAAGGAAGAAAAGAAATAGTCGAATAAACTCGTTATTTTTGTTTGTTTTTTCGCACAAAAAGTATTCGCGTCGCTCGATAAACATATAGTTGAGCCACGGTAGTCACTTGGGATATTTAAACATTTTCTTCATTGACTTTTTGGGCCGTCAAGAGGCAGTCCCTTAGGAGCCAATGTGGTAGTTATACAGCTCTCAAATTTAATCAAAAATATCTTCATTTGTGTTCCGAAGACGAACGAAGGTCTTACGGGGTTGGTACAGCATGGGGGTGAGTAATTAATGACTTAATTTTCATTTTTGGGTGAACTAACCCTTTAATCTCTTAAAGGATTAGTTCACTTTTGAAAAAACTTTTGCTGATGATTTACTCACCCCCATGTCATCCAAGATGTCCATGTCTTTCTTTCTTCAGTCGAAAAGAAATTTAGGTTTTTGATGAAAACATTCCAGGATTTTTCTCCATATAATGGACTTCAATGGGAACCGGATGGTTCAGGTCCAAAAGATAGTGTTAATAACAGTTTCAGATGCAGCTTCAAATGTCTTTAAACGACACCAGACGATGAATAAGGGTCTTATCATGCGAAACGATCGGTTATTTCAAAGCTTATTCCAAAAATGTAACTTTTCTAAGGACAAATGCTAGCCTTTCTCCATTCTGTGAGGCGCGTTTGCAACGTCACGTATTACGTAATTGCGTTCAAAAGGTCACGGGCGACATAGCCAGAAGTACAGAGTCAGAGTGTTTACAAGTTGAACGCATAGGTTGAACGTGAAAACTAACTCAAACGCCGTTTACAAAAAAGGAATTAAAATTTAAAACAACGATGTCGGACGATTTTGATTCTGTACTTCCGGCTACGTCGCCCGTGACCTTTTGAACGTAATTACGTATTACGTGACGTTGCAAACGCGCCTCACAATATATTACAAGGCTAGCATTTGTCCTTAGAAAAGTTACATTTTTGGAATAAGCTTTGAAATAACCGATCGTTTCGCATGATAAGACCCTTATTCATCGTCTGGTGTCGTTTAAAGACATTTGAAGCTGCAACTGAAACTGTTATTAACTGTCTTTTGGACCTGAACCATCCGGTTCCCATTGAAGTCCATTATATGGAGAAAAATCCTGGAATGTTTTCATCAAAAACCTTAATTTCTTTTCGACTGAGGAAAGAAAGACATGGACATCTTGGATGACATGGGGGTGAGTAAATTATCAGCAAAAGTTTTTTCAAAAGTGAACTAATCCTTTAAGCCTCGTATTTTTTAAGTTGTTTAAGTTTTATTAATAAAGGCATAAAACCAGTTTATTTTTAGTGCACTGACAATAGTTTTATATAATTAGTTTGTTAATTAAATTAATAAAAAGACAAATTGACCTTGATCTATGTTTGGTAATTGTACTTGAATGAATGTAAAATTACTTTGCAAACTGTATGTTCAAGTGAATGTTAATTTAGGTTAGTGAGCAACAGGGAATGTTATAATGAGCAAATATTAAATGTCATACTGAATGTGAGAACGTGCACACAATATAGCAGTTAATGCAGAGACGAGCAGATAACACACCAAATTGAGATGCTCCACTGATAATTGACTGTGTACTGTTAAATCTGTCTTGCAGAATTGCATGCAAAGCCCCTATATAACATGTGTTGCACCAGAAACGACGTCTGCTCCTTTCTAGATGTGTAACATAACAGAAAATTAACTATTCATATCGGCGAATTACAATGTTTGATAAAGATGGGTTTCATTAGTCTTTATGTTCCTGCAATTTTACTGTATCATTTCATTGAGAAATAATATTTTAACATTAGACCACTTTTATTCTTTCAGTATACAGTCTGTAACAATCTGTTTCTAGCAGCAAAATGTCAGTGCATTTTAAAATGTCAGTGCCATTGTTTTGTCTCAAGATGCACATTAGTAATGTTTTTTTTTTTGGAAGTACCACACTTGCGGTCTTTGCACTTGTGTACTTGCACGATGTAGGTATTTCCTGCGTTTAGCCCAAGTGTTCAAGTAGGTGTGATGACTAGAACTTTTGATTACCCAATGGGACACACTTATAGTGACACAAAAATGCAAGTGTTTACAGAGCTTTATTTAAATTTTTTAATCAACAATGTCTGGTTAGTAGTCCCAATGTAACAAAAAGCGTAATTAAAAAAATGGTGCTTTTAATTAAGTGATTTAAAAAGCAGCTGCAAATGTACAAAATACACATACCATACTCATCTTTGCAACATTATAATGACACTTTAACAATGTGTTTTTCTACCAAATTACATGTAAAATGTAGTTCATTTAACTTACAGTGGAATGTTTTCCTCATCATCTTGTGATTTCAGTGCATGTGAATTCCCGCACCTAATGCATGATGGGATACGCTCCAATGCGGTATTCAAGATAGTCTACATTTAGTGTGTGTTCAGAGCATTGCGCGGATAGTAACAATCGGTGTTGAGTGTAGTTCACCCAAAATGAAAATTACTGTATGCAAAAAAATTCAAGTTTATAGAGTTTTAGTGTCGGTGGTACTACATTAAACTACTGTATTATGTTGAGTATAATAAAGCAATGAGGGGATATTTGTCAGTCCTGATAATGCCAAATGTCCTATGTTACCAATAAAATTGCAAGCATATTCATCTAAATATAATTTTGAATCATGAATTCTTTTTATTCCGGTGTCTGTGGTCCTGTGCATTGGTTTCCCAGCACCAAGTCCAAACCTTTTCATTTCCACTCCCAATGTAATACCAAATTTAGCATTTTAGTCAACAGTAATTTCTTTGTTTACCTTTTACCATATGTCTTGCAATATCGCAATATCATTCGATATTCGGAGTTTACTATTATGATATATATCGAATCCTAACATGAGGGTATCGTTACACCCCTAGCCCAAAAGCTACTTAAATGCCCTAATTGAACAAAGGCCTATTCCTGGCTTAATCCAAGCCCTGTCTGTGTAATCAGACTTTTGAGATTAATTAACTTGAAAGTTACTTTACTAGATAGAAAAGGTGGGCATAAACATTTAAAATGTGTAAATTAGTATAAAAACAAACTCAGTATGTGTTTTCTTATTGATTTTTGCCAGATCTCCTCCTTCAGTGATGCTCCTCCTCCTCCAGTGAAACTCCTCCTCCAGTGAAGCTCCTCCCACTGCAGTTCACCAATAAACGCTGGAATATTCCCCTCAGCTACAAGTGAAGACGAGCATCAAACCATCAGGAAGAGCCAACACAAACACAAAGTTTATTGAAGGACAGTGAGAACATGAGATCCAGAACACTGCAGAATGAAACATACTGAAGAACAAAGAGGTTGGTGTTCATTCTTGATTCTTTATTAAAGGCACAGTATGTAAGTTTCGCCACTAGAAGTCGCTTATTCTAAACAAAGGCATAGCTTGATGATGCCGTGAATGAGCGTGGAATGGAGGTCTCCAACCGACCACCGCTTCGTCAGGGCGACCGGCCCCCCGCCCACTGACTGGTCCCCGGACACGCCCCCGTCCCACAAACCCACTATTTGTCCAATAACCCACTATATTTTTTAAAGTTTTTCCGCAGTTCATGCAATAAGCTGCAATTGGACGCGATCCCACCGGCAATCTATTGAATGGGGATTTGGGGGAGTATTTTTGATAGACATTTTAATTAAAGTTTCTGTCGTGATAAAAAATATTTTCCCGCACTCAGGAGACACAACCCCCCCGGGGTCCGTAGCACCAAGCGCCGTCCCAGAATCCACTGTCCGCGAACACACTATTTGTCCAATAACCCACTTAAATGTACTAACCCCGGCCTTCATGCAATAAGCTGCAATTGGACAGAATCCCGCCTGCAATCTGTTGAATGGGGATTTGGGTAGTGTTTTTTTTTTGGACATTTTAATTAAAGTTCCTGTCATGATAAAAACTATTTTACTGCACTCAGCTAGGGCCACTGAGTCCGTAGCGCCAAGCGCCGTCCCATAATTCCACCGACCACGAACCCAATGGCATAAATGCTACGTGGGATCTCAAAATCTCAGCTCTGGAAGGGTCTAGAGCCTCCATTTTTGCACTCAGGTCTAAGTCCCATGGCCCTCTATCAGAATCCAGAGTTTCAAGAAGATTGGAGAAACTTATTTTTTGCACCAAAAAAAAAAAAAAAAACGACAGGGGTACCACTGTCGGGTTTTTTTTTTGGGGGGGGGGGGGGGGGGGTCAAATTTTGAGTTTCTCTGATCTTCTTTAAACTCTGGATTCTGATAGAGGGCCATGGGACTTAGACCTGAGTGCAAAAATGGAGGCTCTAGCCCCTTCCAGAGCTGAGATATTGAGATCTCACGTAGCATTTATGCCATTATAAATATCTCAATATCTCAGCTCTGGAAGGGTCTAGAGACTCCATTTTTGTACTCATGTCTAAGTCTCATGGCCCTCTATCAGAATCCAGAGTTTCAAGAAGATCAGAGAAACTCAAAATTTCCACCCGAAAAAAAAAAAAAAACGACAGTGGTACCCCTGTTGTTGTTTTTTTTCGGGTCGAAATTTTGAGTTTCGATATCTCAGCTCTGGACGGGTCTAGATCCTCCATTTTTGCACTCAGGTCTAAGTCCCATGGCCCTCTATCGGAATCCAGAGTTTCAAGAAGATTGGAGAAACTTATTTTTTGCACCAAAAAAACAAACATTTTGAAAAATTTTTTGTTGCTCTGATATAGGCAAGGTCTGCTCTCTCCCACGCACGTTTACCGCTTTACCGTAACCGTTTTATACCTCGACGGTTTATTTTCCAGCAGTTATTTTTCGGCTTAAGCAAAATGTGGGTTTCTATTATACTCCAGCGGCAAAGCACAGCTAAAGCCTTTAATATCCATTTATGAAGATATTCATTTCATATTCAGCGAAATTCATGAGGTAGAAAATGTTATTATAGAGCCCATGAAAGCCAAAATGAGCCAATTGAGAAAGAAAGTTTGCATGTGCCTTCTGTGAGCACCGTCTCTCCAACCAAATGCCAAAAGTATTTTTTTCCAAAAGGAAGTCTACTGTTTTCATGACCATTGTCTTTTCACACAAAATGACTTGATTATCAGAAAACCTGATTAGCAAAGCCCAACTCATGCCATAGGTTGCTGTGTAGGGCTGTATTTTCATACCTGTAGGTCATTTTCTTTGTTCTGTTACGGCAAAAATCCTTTCCAACATCATCACTGCGTAAGAGACACTCAGAGTCAAATTAATGAAATAAAAGAAGTACTTTATTCTTGCAAGAAGGTTCAGTCTGACACACAGAAGTAACGCTGTGGTGAGTGACACCCCGTCTGCCCCCTCCACACAGCTTTTATACTCAAACTCAAGGTTTCAAGTTGTACAAGTTAGCGCCTGATAATGACACTGCTGCAGAAAAGGTCAGCACTTGCTGACCGGCCTAGTCAGGATGACATCTGGGGTCAAAGGTCTTCTTTCCACCTGTTTCTATGTTTCCCCATGCATGTTCCTCACGTAGGACTCGTAAAAAGCACATGCTGTACTCATGCATTTTGCTCAACACAAATCTATTGCTATCAAATCATTCATTGATCAACTTCTAATAATTAACTCTTAATAATTACTTTAGAATCAAGCTAACTTAATTTTTCCACAACAGTCCCTCCTTTTTATCATTCATATTCTCAAAATCATAATAATAAACATTTTTTTCAGAGCAAATTTTAAGTCATATCATCACATTTATACTCTTCATTTCTGACTTTCATATAAATGATCACTCTTCTTAAACATTTGCGAAAAGACAGTGTTTTGAAAAAGGAAAAAAGCTAAGGCTGTTTTTGTGGGGGATAGTCCCCTAATAATTAGCAAGCTAGTAAAGCAATTCATCCGAAGCCGGGCTAAATGAATAATCACTGTTGTTGCACTTCTGATAAAAATCAGACCCGCAGTCACCTCGTCATGAATCAGATAAAGGTTATAGATTAGCAAGAAAAACTCAAAATCATCACAAAACATAGTAAATATAATGAACCAAACCCCTTACTTCTTAATCATCCAGAAGATAGGGATAAAAATCGTACATGCATAGATTTAAGCCACTTCGCTGTAGCTTCCACTGCTAGTGTCATCATCAATTTCTTTGTTTCTGTCGGCACAATTTGGATAAACTGTCAAAGTCATCGCTGTAGCTGATGTTGCTGCTTTTACCAGTCTCTGTACTGAGCTGGAAATAAATCTCACAATGCATGGTAAACAGATCAATATCATCAGCCCTATTGCTCCAATTGGCAATATTGTTTGAAGCTCCAATACACCCATCCTCTGCACATAGACATGAACCACCCAACCCATGCCCCATTAGCATATTCAGGCTCTTTTACCATCTGTCTCATGTGTTCAATCAAATTTGTGATATTATCGCTATAACCTGGAATATTGAAACAACAAGACATTCGCTACATCTTAATACGCCCATCTCCATATTCTATTCACTTCTAATTCAATTTAGTTAGCTCTATTGAATGCTGTTTAACAAATCTAACCAGAGAAGTCTTATAATTTTATCCTTTCCTGTAACCAAATTAGTCGTTCAAAATGAACTCTAATATCTCTAGTACAGACACATCAATCAATAGATTTCCTATATTTGCACCAATCACATCAATACTTAGTTTGATTCAACCAAAATCATCAAAAAAAAAAAAAAACAGATTATTCTGTTAAACTTAAACCATCAGGTGGTTCCTCCTGGTGTGTTGATCATCTCGTTCGCCCCATGGACGTTCCATGTTCACCAGGGTGACACTTTGCGTGCCGTCGCAATGGTCTTTCCCACGTCGGGAGGGAGGCTGTTACTAGCACTAGCCTTTGACCCCTCACTTTATGCTCTATTGGATGGTTGAGGCCTGCTGGTGTTGTCTTAAGGTGAGAGGCTTGGACCCAGTTGTCACATTCTCCAACCATTTTCTGATCCTTTCAAGATTTCCCTTAATTCACGACCGCATCCCCACTGGAGTGAACCATTTCTTGCCTGCTTTCATCTGTGAATAGAGACCTTAACTATTCTTGTTAGTGACAACATCTATTAACTCATCTGCTTGTCTGGCCAGTCTTCCCTTTTAGTTTGACCTGTGGAATCAACAACCTGAAACATTATCACTGGATCATTTCTTGCACTTTTCAGGGCACTTTTCCCCTGGAAAACATTCAACTCATCTTGCTCATGTCCTCAACATAACGTTTGGACATTTGGAACAGAATCAGTTCTGTTTGCTGCAATCCATCCTGAGATTCTGTAAAAGGAAAATCTTAGTTATGCGCTGCACAGGTGTGACGCCTTTCCACCACACTAAAAACCCATGCCAGGGTAGTTAGCCAAATTCATCCATAGCCATTATTTTATTAGACACATTCTGCTCATGTCTTAAAAGTCCACATGATCTGTAGAGAAAAACAAATGTCGAGGTTATTTTCAGATAGAAGTCTGCATGATCTGTACAGAAAACAAATGCCGAGGTTATTTTCATATAGTGAAGTACGCGTAGTTTCAAATTTGAACCCCTCAGTAAACCATATTTGGCAATTGTTACCATCCCCCTTTTGATGCATGACCCAGCTCACAAACTTTTGCCAAATTTCATACCATTTGCATTAAAACAGCCAAAATGGTCAAAGAAATTAAACTGCAAAAGACCAAAAATGTCCCTAATGCAGCATAAGGGTTAAAGTAATTCAGTTTTACTTTTAAAACATGTAAAATACCAATTGCCCTCTGAATGGCAATGATTTCTTTTAACATCTCTCTGTCTATGATCTTCAACTGAAACACTGTGCTTAGCTACAAACAGTTTATTATCACTTATGACACAGGCTCAGATCACAACTTTAGCTGACATTGGACGAGAGAGACTGAGGAATTCAGGACTGGTACTGCACACTCATAAACTTCGAACATCAAACTTTATCTCTATTCCAGCTTAAGGCATCTTTGCCAGAAATTACATACGGTTTCAAATAAACATGTTATTTAAATGTGTCTTTTGCCCACATCAGGGAATTTAGGCATTACTAATTTTCCTCTCAGATTGAGTCTGTTGCACTGGCAGCTTTCAGCCACAGTACACATCAGATTCAGATAAGCAAACTGTTTCAAACTTATCTTTTGAAAGAAAAACATCAGCTTCTAGTTCTTTCATGGTCAACTCTTCAAGCTCTTTGTTTAATCAGCATTTAGCTGCTTCTGCTTATTTGATCGTAAACACAAAATAATTTATCTAGTCTTCAATAACCTTCATATTTCCTCTCAATTTTAATTGTCAAGTTCTGACAAGGTTGGCACTTTGACAAGGTTAGCACTCTCTGCTTGTGATGCGCTTGCAGTTATTGTAAATCATCTGTGAGATTAGTCTCTCTATATCATCTAAAACCTTTTTAAAATGTTCACTTACAACACAATCATCCTTTTAGTTACCTTTATATATGTCTTTGCAACTCACATTTGTTAGAGTCATTAATTTTACAGCAAACTGTTTTCTTCAATTCACTTCTTCTTCAAAATTACTAATATAGATCCTTTCTTCAAAAGGATTCACTTTAAGGCTTCAATCCCTTGACCTTGTTTTTATTTCTTATTTCTCAGACGAAAAATGTTAATGTTGTCATTTAAACTGATTTACTTTCAAACCCACATTATTACCAAAAATGAGTCTCTATCACATTTTCAAAAACACCTTATCGTGGACATTTACCGTTACGCGTTAAGTGTTCCTGCTGACCACAATTAAAACACTCTCTGTCAGCTCCAACTTACTGCACACACTTGAAGCAGTGGTGTCCCATTCAGGAATGCACACAGAGCCACTGATAAGCAGTTCTCTGTATTCCTTACAGTCCACCAGTGGTGGACATAATCACAATAGCCCAATCATAATCTTCTTCATCATTATTATTGACAGAACATTAATTTTCATAGCCGCATCGAAATGCTCAAAATATTCTAAGTTGTTTTCACGAAGTTTCTTGACTACTTTGGTCACACTTGTCCTAGGAAATTATCCCTGACTCAAAATTATAAAAATTTTATAAAACAATATCTTATTTCAATTGTCAATCAACCTTACTGATTTCCACAATCTTTGGACATAGCTGTCTTTTACTAATTTGGTATTACCATCAACAACACTAATTACAGAACAAGTACATATCTAACATCCGGAAGCCGGGCTGAATAAGCAAACACTGTCACTGTACTCCCAGCATAGCTGGACCCTCAGTCACTCCTCAGATATTAAATACAGACATAGTCTATAATCATAAATACCAAGATATACGCATTCGTTTTTTACAAAATTATAGTTTCAATTCATTTTATAATAAATGAAGATGGATAGTAAGTCCATTCTTTTCACTACCCCCATTATAGACCCAATGGTTGTCAAACCAAAATTAAACATAATTTCAATCATTATTTTACCACTAAAATATAAAATTGTTCCCCATTCTGCTTAATGAAACATTTCTTATCTTTATATAACTGTTAATCATACTCAATGCCTTATTGTTTTATCTGAAACTTATTTTTTCATACAAGTTCAATTTAATCTGACTTATCAAATAGTTCCATGAATTCTCTCGGAATTTTTTCTTTTCTCTCTATCAGCTTCCTCAAGCCGAACGTCCACTGTCTGTTCACATTTTCCACATCCATGCCTAGCGCAGCCTCGCTGCTTTGTTCCACTGACTCCCGCACCACTCCCAGTCTAGTAGTGCTCAGTGTTCCCTCTCTTGGGAAGTCATGATATTTGATCAGGTTTTCAATCTAACATATATTTTCCCCCCATATATCTTTTTCATTTGCCAGAAAACTGGCGTATCATAATTTGCATGCTTACTCTGGGCTTTCCCCATACTGATTGTTCCGCCCGGCCCGAGGTTTTTCTCTTTCGACCCGTCTATAGTCTGTCGGACGTCTCCAACAGACCTGGTCACTTCACCCAAGACCAGAAAGGTTGCACCCAGTGTTAAATTGTAAGTCGCAGTTCAAACCCAGACAGACCCCTCTTGGATCTTCCGCTTTAAAGTTATAAACTCTCACACCCCAGCTGGGATCAGACGCATTCAGTATGGTTCAGCCACTCTTTGTCAACCCAAACAAAATATTTTAGCCGTCTCTTACCAGAGATATGTTGGTTGCCACGGGTTCGTTTTCTGTTAATTCCAGTGGAGCCTCTCCCGGACCCGATAGCGGTCGGCCCCTCTCTCTCAAGCTTACGAGGTAGAGCTGGAACTGCTCAGTCCAGGTGGCCAAACACCGTCCGCTCACCGTCAGCAAGTTGTACAAGTTAGCGCCTGATAATGACACTGCTGCAGAAAAGGTCAGCACTTGCTGACCGGCCTAGTCAGGATGACATCTGGGGTCAAAGGTCTTCTTTCCACCTGTTTCTATATGTTTCCCCATGCATGTTCCTCACGTAGGACTCGTAAAAAGCACATGCTGTACTCATGCATTTTGCTCAACACAAATCTATTTCTATCAAATCATTCATTGATCAACTTCTAATAATTAACTCTTAATTACTTTAGAATCAAGCTAACTTAAAATTTTTCCACAACAGTTCTGAAGCACGGATTTAATTTTTTACTCGTTCGGTTTGCTTTCACAAGGCAACATTTCAAAGCAGCGTACCAAAATGTGTTTATGCAAGCCATGTGTATAAAACGATCATCTTATTGGTCAGAGTTCAACCAAAGAGTTTAGAAGAACAAGAAGCAAAACTCTGATGCTTTTTTGGTAAAAGCCACTAGGTGGCGCTTCAGGAGCGCGGCCGCCATTTTGGGGTGAAAATTCCAACTGGAGTTACTGGACAACAGCATAGATAACAGTTTTTTGAGGTAGTTTTTTCTTCTAATTTTTCCCAAGCGGCAAAATTCTAATCTGAAAAATGAAGCCTACCCGGAAGTGGGAAAAACTGCAATACATCGAAAATCCGCTAGAGGTCGGTCCCAAAAAGGGGTGAATATCCATAGACCATAGTTTTAGTTTTCACATCCATAGTTTTCACAGCATCAATTCATATGTTTACAGTTTGACTTTTATTGTATTTTTCGATAGGTTCCGAGTGCCTGACAACTGTGAGGTGAGTGAATTTTTTCTAACTCGTTAGTTTAGATCGTATTTGGATGTAAAATGTATGAAAAATAAGGGCGGTTAACTTTGATTGACAGCTGATAACGGGCTGCGCCGAGTGAAATTGGACGTCTTGGCCATGATCTGACACGACGCATCTCTGTATCCTTTCTGAAACATTTGTATTTCTGAACATTTGTATTTTGTATTTCTCAAGATTTTCTAATATGGTGCCGCCCATACCCCCCATAAACAGCCTCAAACCTGTTCTTCAGAAAGTCTATGAGTGACGTCACAGACGCTTTGTCCATATTTTTTACAGTCTATGGTATTTCCATTGTATGCAACTTTACACATTTACTACTTCTATTAGTTACCAACTCCATTAGGCCTGAAATATATTTTGTACGTTTTAATCCCCTGGATCATGCTACAAACATGATGATCATTGATGCGCTGTGTCCGTTATGCTATTACTTTAATTGCCACTTTGAACAGTTTTTTTTACATAGTTTTGTTTTAACGGTCATTAATATAAGATAATACTCCAAAATACTTGTGTTGCAATGGAGCGTTCACTTCTTGTCAATATACGTTCTTTGGTTCAACCGTTTTCATTCCTCAAGATGGACAGAGATAATCGCTCCGCTGGCTTTGTTTATTCGACTGTAGCCTTGATTCCTGCTCTGACTGATAAATTAAATATTAAAAAATATATTACATTTTATGAAGCAAGTTAGGCTTCGTCAAGACAGCATTCTTGCAACACGCAATCCTGCACACGTTTCTCTTATGAACTGTCTGAGATTCATTCTTTGGTAACACGTTACTTGAAGGGGTATGTATAAGACTAACATGATGTATGTTATGAATATGAAGGAAGGTTTATGCATGTTTGTGACAACTGTCATTAAGTGTCTTTTGCTCAGTTATGAAAGTTTTAATGCAAATATGACATTGTTTGAGATGTCTTTGTTATGACACCTTGACATTTACCAAGCAGGGATGGAAATCAACTCTTTTGTCCACCGGCGGCCACTGTGGATTTCTAAATCGACCAGCCACTCGACGTTTTTACTAGCCACTTTCTTGTTTTTAACCGACAATGTGTAACTGGTAACACTTTACAATAAGGTTCATTAGTTAATGTATTTACTAACATGCACTAACCATGAGCAATACATTTGTTACTGCATTTGTTCATCTTTGTTAATGTTAGTTCATGAAAACACAGCTGTTCATTGTTTGTTCATGTTAGTTTACGGTGCATTAACTAATGTTAACAAGATTTTAATCAAGTATTAGTAAATGTTGAAAATAACATTAACAAAGATTAACAAATGCTGTATATGTGCTCTTCATTATTAGTTCATATTAACTAATGTTAACTAACGAAACTTATTGTAAAGTGTTACCGTGTAACTGCATGTGAAAGTTAATGTGTAACTGCATGTGAGAGTTAATGTGTAACTGCATGTGAGAGTTAATGTGTAACTGCATGTGAGAGTTAGTGTGTAACTGCATGTGAAAGTTAATGAGTAACTGCATGTGAAAGTTAATGAGTAACTGCATGTGAAAGTTAATGTGTAACTGCATGCGAAAGTTATTTAGTAACTGCTGTGAAAGTTGATGTGTAACTGCAGTGAAAGTCTATGTGTAACTACAGGTGAAAGTCGATGAGTAAAGTGCATGTTACTGTGATGAGTATCTGCAGATGAAGTTTATGAGTAGCTGCAAGTGGAAGTTAATGTGTAACTGCTGGTGAAAGTTGTTGAGTAAATGCTTGCGAACGTCATATGTGTAACTGCGTGTGATAATTAATGTGTAACTGCAGGTGAAAGTACGAGTAACTTGAGGTGAAAGTATGAGTAACTTGCAAGCGAAGTTAACGTGTAACTGCAGTGAAATGGTGAGTAGCTGTACGTGAAGTTAATGAGTAACTTGCAAGCGAAGTTAATGAGTAGCTGCATGCGAAAGGCAACGAGTAACTGCAGTGAAAGTTAATGTGTAACTGCATGCGAAAGCTAATGTGTAACTGCAGTGAAAATCGATATGTAACTGCATCGGAAAATGTCCAGTAGCTGCATGCGAAAGGTAACGAGTAGCTGCATGTGAAAGATATGAGTACTTGCATGTGAAAGACGAGTAGCAAGCATGTGAAAGATAATGAGTAACTGCAAGCGAAGTTAACCGGTAACTGCATGTGAAAGTCTATGTGTAACTGCATGAGAAAGTTGATGTGGAACTGCATCTGAAAGTTGATGAGTAATTTGTAAGCGAAGTTTATGAGTAGCTGCATGTGAAATGATAAGTAACTGCACTGAAGTTAATGAGTAACTTGCAAGCGAAGTTAATGAGTAACGGCATGCGAAAGGCGACGAGTAACTGCTTGTGAAAGTTGATGTGTAACTGCATGTGAAAGCTAATGTGTAACTGCAGTGAAAATCGATATGTAACTGCGTGAGAAAGTTGTTGAGTAATTGCAAGCGAAAGTTAACGAGTAGCTTCATGTGAAAGTTAACGAGTACCTGCCTGTGAAAAATGATGAGTACCTGCATGTGAAATGACGAGTAACAGCATGCGAACGATAATGAGTAACTGTATGTGAAAGTTAATGTGTAACTGCATGTGAAAGTTAATGAGTAACTTTATGTGAAAGTTAATGTGTAACTGTATGTGAAAGTTAATACTGGTAGGTAGGTTAATGTGTAACTATGTGAGAGTTAATACTGATAGGTTGGTTTATGTGTAACTATGTGAAAGTTAATACTGATAGGTAGGTTAATGTGTAACTGCATGTGAGAGTTAATACTTGTAGGTAGGTTAATGTGTAACTGTAAGTGAAAGTTAATACTTGTAGGTAGGTAGGTTAATGTGTAACTGTAAGTGAAAGTTAATACTGGTAGGTAGGTTAATGTGTAACTGCATGTGAAAGTTAATACTGGTAGGTAGGTAGGTTAATGTGTAACTGTATGTGAAAGTTAATACTGGTAGGTAGGTTAATGTGTAAATGTATGTGAAAGTTAATACAGTAGGTAGGTAGGTTAATGTGTAACTGTATGTGAAAGTTAATACTGGTAGGTAGGTAGGTTAATGTGTAACTGTATGTGAAAGTTAATACTGGTAGGTAGGTAGGTTAATGTGTAACTGTATGTGAAAGTTAATACTGGTAGGTAGGTTAATGTGTAACTGCATGTGAAAGTTAATACTTGTAGGTAGGTAGGTTAATGTGTAACTGTATGTGAAAGTTAATACTGGTTGGTAGGTAGGTTAATGTGTAACTGTATGTGAAAGTTAATACTGGTAGGTAGGTTAATGTGTAACTGCATGTGAAAGTTAATACTTGTAGGTAGGTAGGTTAATGTGTAACTGTATGTGAAAGTTAATACTGGTAGGTAGGTTAATGTGTAACTTTATGTGAAAGTTAATACTGGTAGGTAGGTAAATGTGTAACTTTATGTGAAAGTTAATACTGGTTGGTAGGTAGGTAGGTTAATGTGTAACTGTATGTGAAAGTTAATACTGGTAGGTAGGTTAATGTGTAACTGCATGTGAAAGTTAATACTTGTAGGTAGGTAGGTTGGTTAATGTGTAACTGCATGTGAAAGTTAATACTGGTAGGTAGGTAGGTTGGTTAATGTGTAACTGTATGTGAAAGTTAATACTTGTAGGTAGGTAGGTAGGTTAATGTGTAACTGTATGTGAAAGTTAATACTGGTAGGTAGGTAGGTTGGTTAATGTGTAACTGCATGTGAAAGTTAATACTGGTAGGTTGGTTAATGTGTAACTGTATGTGAAAGTTAATACTGGTAGGTTGGTTTATGTGTAACTATGTGAAAGTTAATACTGGTTGCTAGGTATGTTTGTTAATGTGTAATGTGGGATCACATTATAAAATAAATGTTTTTCTCCAAAACACGTTGGCCACAATTACTCATACCCTTTTATTAAATACCTTTTTGCAATCTCTTTTTGCCAAGATAACTGCTCTGAGTTTTCTGTTAAAATGCCTGATGTGTTTGCACAACACCTGACCTGAGATCAGAGACCATTCCTCCATACAGACTCTCCAGATCCTTCAGATTCCCAGATCCATGTTTGTGCTTCTCTTCAGTTCGGACCACTCATTTTCTATAGGGTTCTGGGACGGTCATGGCAGAAGCTTCATTTTGTGCTCCCTAACAAATTTTTGTGTTGATTTTGATGTTTGTCTTGGATCGTTGTCCAGATGGCAGATCCAACCATGGCCCATAATAAGATTTCTAGCAGAAGGTGTCAGGTTTTGATTTTTTATCTGTTGATGTTTAATAGAATCCACAATGCCATGTATCTGAATAAGAAGTCCAGGACCTCCTGCAGAAAAATAGGTCCCCAACATTAAAGATCCAATGGTTTATTAAATTGTACACATGGGGTACTTTTTATCCTGATGTCCACCAAACTATCTAGTGTGCTTACTGCCAAAAAGCTCTTTTTTTAGTCTCATCTGACCACAGAACCCTGTGCCGTTTGAAGATCCAGTCGTGTCTGACACCTGAATATGCTGGAGTTTGTTTTTTGGAGGAGAGAGGAGGATCTTTCTTGAAACCCTCTCAAACAACATGTGGGGTTGTAGGGGTTGTTTGATAATTTTTTTTATTTAATACTGGTAGGTAGGTAGGTAGGTAGGTTAATGTGTAACTGCATGTGAAAGTTAATACTGGTAGGTAGGTAAGGCAAGTTTATTTATATAGCATATTTCATACACAATGGCAATTCAAAGTGCTTTACATAGAAAAATTAAATAATCAAAAGTAATCAGAATAATTAGAACAGTTTAGAATAAAACATGAAAAATAAAAATAATTATAAAAATAAAATACAGTAAATAATTAAAACAATTTAGAATCAAAAATAAAACGTAGTACGCAGTAGTCGGACGAACAGTGGCAAAATGCACAGCTAAACAGATGTGTTTTGAGCCTGGATTTAAATGTGACTACTGTAAGAGCTCACCTGATCTCTTCTGGAAGCTGGTTCCAGTGGCGGCTGTTGGCATAATAGCTAAAAGCAGACTCTCCATGCTTAGAGTGAACCCTTGGTGTTTCTAGCTGATGTGAGTGATCTAGGTAGGTAGGTTTGAATAAGCATCAAAAAATGATTTGTGCACCATCAACATTTCCATTAGTTTTTTAAAGTGCCTACTAGGCTGTTTTTATTTTGCAGCTCTCCTACAACAGGTTTACATTAACCCAATGTCAAAAGCACTATTTTACTCATGCTGCACATCACTTCATTTCTCAAAGCAGACTGAGCTCATGAAGTAGCGTGTGTATGACACGCCAATTCGTATTTCCATTTTTTGGCGTGCTATCAGTAAGGGTTAATGCCCGACGAGGTGTCCATTGTCAAGTTTTAATGGACGACGGCGAGGCATGAACCGGCCGACGTGCAGCGGAGGACGAAGTCCATTAAAACCTGACAATGGACACCTCGGAGGGCATTAACCCGCTTATACCATGGTCACTTGCCAAATAAAACATTTTTAAAACATTAGTTTATATTTTAATTAGGCTAAATCTAGTTTTTACAAATAATAACTTGCCTGACGGTTTATTTAGCAACCGGAGATATTTATAGTCCTCTCAGCTTGTAGAACCCTTCAAAAATGCTTTTTTTTTTTTCATGAAACACAGGTAGGCATAGTTATTTTTTTATTACACATAAAACAATTAATCAAACAAAAATCAGAAAAACACACAAAAAAACAATTAGTTCTGAGCACCAGCGATTTGCGCTTATATAGGGCAATAAATTCAGATCAAAGAGAGGGTCATTTGCCTAGCTACATTCTAGCTTTTTTATTTACAATTAATTTCAACGCTTCCATTTATAGTGCAATTTGAAAAAGTCGGCCAGTCAGAAGGATCCACAAAAGCTGGGTAACGTTACTGCTGCCCAGGATGGGCACTTGATGCAGACAGTACGTTGCTCCAGCTTCGTCTCTCACGGACAGACGGAGCCGCCCGCAGACTGCTCTCGCATCGATGGCCTGTCACCGTCATTATTTGACGGCTCTCCAGTCCAGCATCGGAGAGTCGACCTACAGCATACCAGTCGTCAAAGTTGCCATATTCTCCATAAATGTTAAAAGAAATAACGAAGTCGCTCATTGTTGTATTAGGCTATAGAATCTAACGTTAGATGTTTGTTTTGATAGAGCGTTTGACTGCCTGTTGCTATGGTTACATACTCACAGCTGTTGTAGGCAGCGCATTTATTTATTCATTTCGAATAGTAAACAGGCAGTTTCACCAGAACTACTTTACTAGGTGTCCTCTATCACCTTTTAATGGACACCCTGCAGCCAATCAGAATCGAGTATTCACCCAGACCATG